ACTCGTGGCATTTTGCCAACCTCGCACCCCATGTTTCTCCGAGTATTGAAGCAACGAAGAAAAGAAATTGTGCCAGTGCAAGTAAAAATTGTACTCCTGTCGCGACTACCTAATGCGCCCGGCAAGACTTGAACTTGCTACCTCAGTAGGTCATCCCACAATGCAGCAGTGGTGTAGCGAACTGAGCCAAGGAAGCGCATCAAAAATCCGAGTAATATTTATGACAAAAAAGCACCCCGGATGCCGTAGATGTACTTTTGAACATGGAGAAAAAAACACACCTTACTATTCATATGCTCCCTGCAAGCTTTGAACTTGCGGCGCTCGCGATTGCATAATATTTATACCACGGTGAGCGAACTGAGACAAGGAAGCGTGGGCGTTAGGGCGTGGTCCGACACATGCACCCTCTGCCCTGTTGTTTGAATTTTTGCTTTTCTTTCTTCAACTACGACCACCGATGTTTGCTGATGCAAATGTTAGTCTCTTTCTTCTTTTTTTTATCGACGGCTGCTTCATTGGATGGCTTTTCAGAACTTAGTACAACATCGCCTCTTCTCCCAATGGATCGACAATCGAACGTACGTTATATACCTTTGGAGTATGGCCTCACGTTGCGGGAGCTGTTCTTAACGACAGTTGTCAATAACTGTCCATTTCACGGTTCCGCGGCAGTGATTACAAAATCACTAAAGCCCCCTGGCTAAGGCTCGGATGTCGTAGGTGTACTTTTGGGGCAAGCAAAACCACTATTCACTGCATATGCTCCCTGCAAGCTTCGAACTTGCGACCTAGCGATAGCTTAGCAATACGGGGTGGTGAGCGAACTGAGCCAAGGAAGCGTCGGGGTTAAAGCGTTCCTGGGGTGACGTCATGTAACCCTACGCCCTGTTGTTTCGTTTTTCTCGTTCTTCGACCACGACTCCCAACGTTCGCTGATTCAAAGGTTCATCTCTGTCATTTTTTCCATCAACGAGTGTTTCATTGGAAGACTTTTCGGGAAATGCTAAAACGAGGAGGTACGTCTCCCTCGTCTCGATTATCACCGGTTGCTTATCTCGATTGACTCCAGCTTCCTTCCTTCAACCACGATGACTCGGTCAACGCTCTTGGCTCCAGGTACGTCTTTTTTGACCCTCGTATGACTGGGTAACTCATTGGCTGAATTAGGTATAACCCTTTCCCTTGCATCCGACCAAACGACGCGTAACCGCGTAACCTTCCAGCCGCCTAGCGTTCGTCGTAGGAGGAATAATCGAAGATGGAAAAAGCATGGGAAGGGCAACATATCCGCACAGAGATGTTCTCCGCCACTCCTCGCCTCGTCCTACCCCTCCGTCTGTTTGAAATCCGTACGCTCGCAAGCACCAGCGCCCTACCGTCACTACGTCACCTTGGCCCCCCTTCCCTTGCATAGCAACACATACCACGATGCATGCGCGTCATCCTCCGGTGGACAGGGTATGGCTGTCGTTTTGAAGGAAAGGTTGTCGGGTTGTTTTAAGGTAGAGGGCTATATTGAGGAATGCTACCAATCATCAACACGATGTATCGACTACTCCATCTCCCCAACGCTCGCGGCTCGAAGACATCCATCATACCCGACTTGAACACAAACACCCCCTTCATCGTCTTCTCCATCAAAGCATTCTTTTGCTGCGCAAATTTCTCGGATCTACCAAAACGCCGCCTCGTCGCCTCCCGTACCAACAAGCATGCGACTCGTCGTCCTATAAGTCAGGTTACGGCTGTCGTCCGGAAGGAATGGGTACCGGCTCGGGTGGGCAAGATGACGTATCCTATCCACATACTCCAGTTCATCCCGCTGGTGCCCTGAAGACACCCACCCTATCGAACATGAATACCCCTTTCACCCGCACCCAACCATTCCCAGATGGGATGTAGCACGTCTACGCCCCATTACGCCTTCAGTCCTCCGTTTGGGAACCTAGGTTCTCCAGAGCGAATCTCACCTCTGACCTCTCGCTTCAACGCCTGCACGGACATCTTCCCCCTCATTCTGCTTGTTGAAGGAGTGGAGGAGAAGGAGGATTGCACGAGAGGCATGTCACAAGGAGTCCTGCTATATCAGGTTCGATTCCCGAACGGTGTACTACCTGTGTGAGCTTTTTTTAGGTCAAGGGTCGTTATTTTGCCTTCGCGTCTCACAAACCGGAACGTTCGTCTCTTGGGTTTACTTGAAGGCTTTTGTTGTACGCACTCCGGGATCGATTGTTGTTGAGGCGACGAAGCGTATATTACTGGTCTTTCGTGTTCTGTGAAATGTTTGATCTGGCGAATGATATGAAGTCATCTTTGTTCTCGGAGCGTATTCGTTGGATAGATATTACCAGTTGCATGTACTGCGGTTCTGGGTTATTGCCGTCTGACAGAGTACTAGAATCCGGCTAGATCATCTCCTGTATAGACTACACGTCCTCTCCTTTCAACCCAACTCAAGCCACTGGATGTCCCCTCGAGTCCTTGGTATTCCTTTGTCTAAGGTTCGGTGACCAGTTACGCTGTGCGCTCCGTATCTGCCAAACACTGTTGGTGAAGCGGTTATCATGCTTGCCTTCCGTCGATTCTGTTCATCCAATTGCTTATCATCGCTCGCCGCACACCGTATTAGCATAAACCAGGCCCGCAACTTCGGCAGTTGGGGCCCATTCCGATTCGACATCGTGAGGAATAGGCTAATAGGCTAATGAAGAATAAGGTGCGAGGCACCGGAGAGGCGAAGCCTGGAGAAGATGATGGTGAGGCCATTATGTAAAGGAGGTGCGTGGCACCATGGACAAAAGGCGAAGCCTTTAGAGAAGAAGAAAAGAAAGATAGAAGAATGGCGAAGCCATATGATGAGGACTCACGATGGAGCGAGGCAGGAGGTGGGGAGTGACGGCGGCATCACTGACGTAAGTGGGCTTGTAAAATGGCTGGATGCTTGCGGATATAGATGTGGAATGCATCTGAAGACCAGCGGCCTGCAGCTTGAATTAGATGTGGAGGAACACCATCTTCGGCCAATGATGTAGCACCCCCAGATCGAAGAGACTGTCCTGCAAAGGAAGGATCGGGAAAGAGACGGCGGAGCCGTTTGATAAACCAACGTCGTGTGGGAACTTCACCATTAGACTTCAGCCAAAGGAATGGATGAAGAAGGAACCGTTGGTCGCGTTGGGACATATAGGATTGTATGATAGGGCGTGGATTGAGGTCATCTGTGCGATCAGGTACAATGACTTTATTACCTTCGAAAAGAGTATCGGTCTTGTGACGTTCAAGCCAGAAAGAGAATCCTTCTGGGAGCCATTGAACAGAGGAACGGAGTGAGTACTTGCGAGAGTTGCGAAGAAGGACGGTATCATGAGCTACCATTTCTCCGAGGCGAAGTAGTGCAAAGAATCCAACAAAGAGGAGTGTTAGGAAAAGACAGTCATCGTATGAAGGTTGTGGTGGATGGCATAACCTTGCAAACCGAAGCTGATTCTTGGTTAAGGGGGCCTTTCGACAGGCAGGTTTCCCATAGAGGCGACGGCATCCTTTCATCGTTCGACGGACAAGAGGATGATTACGAGAAGTACGGACATCGGGATAGAATGGTTCGAGAAGGTAGCAGATCCCAGAGAGATACTTGTTCACGCTCTTGGGATCAATGAAGGAGGACATATAGGCGGCGAAGTAACTGAAGGAGTTGGCATTTGGTTCCATGGGAAAGTCGTGTTGTTGTGTAAATTTGACCCATGCGTTGAGTCCAGAGCGATAGGTGCTGTTTGAAGTGGCATCGATGGCAAGACCTAGAACGGTGTTGCGTTGCTGATCAAGTTTGGTACGTGACCAGGTCGGTTTGTGGCGGACCCGACGAACCGCACGTGGAGGAGTCATGATGAGGATGCCCCCAGCGTATTCCGAGGGGGTTTCATCATGGAAAGGGAAGGAGAGTGAGAGCTTTGAATGATTGAGCATGAACTGGCATCACACCGAGAACAACTCTCACAAACGTGTGTTCTTCTGGCGATGCAATGAGAAGAGACAAGGGAAAAAGTACTGGGGACATACCTGGCGACGTAGTGAGAAGAGACAAGGAGAGTGTCTCACTCCGTCGCCAGTGTAACGGATCTGCGGAGAATGCCGTGAGTATGACGAAATCACGCTGACACGATGACAGCACTCACCACTGCTCTCTCACTTGCGACCTCGGCGGTGGAGAGAGCATATCCCACTTACGGCGCGGGGCGCGGGGACGGTGAGTGCTTCGGAAACATGCAGAGCTTGCTACTGATGCAATTAATCTTTTGTAGACTCGCAAGCTCATCTAAAATCGACCAAGATTAGCAAGCGGCTCGGGTTCAATTCCCGCCCGGTGTATATTACAACCGAGTGTCTCTCGTTTTTCTTTATTCTCCGTTTTATCTCGTCAAGGCTTTCAACCACGGTGGGTGCTCTCTTCATTCAGCACATCGTCCACCAACGTCTCTGTTACTTTGTTGTACGCGGATGGGTGTCTTGTAAGTTTGAAGCATGTATCAGAGTTTTTTCCGTACCGACTTTCTGCTTCGAGGCCTCGAGATGTTTGATCTGTCGAAAGGTATGGATTCCTGAAGCACGCCTTCTTCCCTGGTTGATATAGCCACATTTCTTTCTGATCAGTTTTCATTTCCTTCAAGTGTCCCTGATCGTTAGGGATTCCAATGTTTTCAGGTATAGATGAATAACGCGTCTTCGTCGGTAAGAGTCTTCGTGCCGATGCTGATGTTCTCAGACTCAGAGTGCAGAGCGTTGATCTCAGGATGACTTGATTTGGGACGTAGTTCAAGTCCATGGGTAAGGATGTTTCATTGCAATACTTGAATCGAAGAGCTTTGGCTCTTAGTCTGAACACCAGAGCCACTAAATCCTCTCCACTCCAATAATGATTGACTTCTTATGTCCCAGCATGGGTTCCGAGCTCTTGATACTGCAAAGGGGTTGACGTTGATTCCGGGGAGCGTAAAACAACGACACCGTTGGTGAAGTGGTTATCATGCTTGCCTTCCATGGTTCTGGTCTCCTTCGGACAGCAAGCGGCTCGGGTTCGATTCCCGAACGGTGTACTAGTCTTGGAGCATTCTTTGGTTTTTACTCTCCGATCTCACTCGTACTTGGACTGACCAAATCATCTTACAAGCCCTACGACTCGTCGTTCAACGGGACGAACCATAAACGAATCACCGTTCACATAATGGAAGTCACCGTTTTCGAAGTATCCCTCGTTGGCGTGCAACACGTTTCTGGGTTGTGTATCATTCGTGTTGGTTCCTCGTTCCTTCAAATTTCAGTTCAGACGATCACTGCATACGTTATTAGTATGAAGAAGCAATGTTGACTTTGATGATATCTCTCAAGACTGCCAGATACATTCCCATACCCGGCACTCATCACTGCTTCCCACCGCGTTTCCCAGAATACCAGAGTCCGGCTAGATCATCTACTGTATAGACCCGTCTTAAGTCACTGGACGCTGTTTATCTCCCAGCGCGGGAAAGGATAGTCTCTAGAGTACTTGATGGGGGGTGGCTGTGGTTCAACGGAAGGACGATCATAATCATTTTGCGATTGAGAACATCAATACACTGTTGGTGAAGTGGTTATCATGCTTGCTTTCCATGCATCCGTTCGATTAGGGTTTAGCAAGCAGCTCGGGTTCAATATTAATTCCCGGACGGTGTATGTGCAATTCGACCATCTCCTTTTTTATTTTGTCTCTTCAGAATTTCAACCACGGTGGGTGCTCTCTTCCTTCAGCGCATTGTCAACCATCTTGCCTGAGTTGATTTCAGTGGTACCTGGTAATTTATGGTATCTTTTCTACAGCTTCACCTCTGTTACGCGGACGGGTGTCTTGTAAGTTTGAAGCATATTAGAGTTTTTTCCGTACTAACTCACTGCTTCGGGGCCTTGAGATGTTTGATCTGTCGAGAGTATGGGTTCTCGGAACATGCCTCTTTCCCTTGTTGATATAGCCACATTCCTGTTTGGTTGTCTTTGGTTTCCTTCTAGTATCCCTGATCTTTAGGAGGTTCGATAGGTATAGATGGATAACACGTCTTTGTCGGTAAGAGTCTTTGTGCTGATGCTGATGTTCTCAGACTCAGAGCGTTGACCTGGGGGGATGGGTTTTGATTTGGGACGTATCATATAGGCCTCTCTGAGCTACAGTCCGGATACCTCACATGGGTAGAGTTTCCTCGTTTTCAACTCGGCACAAAATCACAAGGGCGTACGGCTAAACCATCCCCTTCCCATATATACCAACCTTTCGAATGGAACAATGGTTGACTTTTTATGTCTCAGGCGCGGAACTGAAAGGTCTCTCGAGTACGCCACGTTAGGGGAAGGGTGGTTTTTCATTCAGAGTTCTTATCACCACCGATCGGACAAATGCGTCCTCGATACCAAAACACCGTTGGTGAAGTGGTTATCATGCTTGCCTTCCATAGCTTTTCCCATGTTGAGAAGCAAGCGGCTCGGGTTCGATTCCCGAACGGTGTACTAACGAGGCCACTCTCGTTTTTACTACCAAAAAAACTCGGTTTTCTTCGTTCTCGCATCTCCTGGCTTTCCGGGGTGTTTGGACTGACGACGTATACTTATTAGAAGAGTACAGACACCCTACAACTCTTCATTTCATGGGATGAATGAATTGCCATGCGAAAATACAGGGGTTACGATTATTCATCCCAGTATGCGATTTCGACGCTTAGTTTCTTGGGCTTAAAGTTCTAATCCTATCTTGTAGGCTTGGGTGGTGTAGATGACTACAGCTCTACATCCCAAAATAAATCGGGCGGTATAGCTTGAGGGCAAGAAACCGACTGCAACTGGCGTTGGAGTACCCGAGGGGGACTTGGGAGGCCCTAATCTTTGGCGCCCATAGACGCTCCAGCCTCGAGGCGGTAAAGAAGCAACGAATAAGGTACGTAACGGAAGTGAGCAAAAGATAAATATAGATGTCTTGCGGGGTATCGCCTATTGATCCGAGCTACACTTTTCCTTTAAACACCACCTTCTCGATTTTCATCCACCTCTGAGTATATTGCTCGCTTTCAAGTAGGTAATTCTGGTTTTCAATGGATCGGTATGGAACACTTAGCTCTTTTGCTAGTAACTGTCATTTTATCGATCGCGATATTCCCCTTCACTGCCGAAACCAAGATGGTGATCCCGCTGGAGATCTTGGACAACATTCTAGAACTATGTACCAGAGATGTTCTCCTAAACACCTGCATGATATCGAGAGGAGCGCACAGAACAAGCGTTCCACTGTTGTATCAGGAATTCGCTCCAGATCGACCCAGGCAGATGGTTTTGTTCTTCAAGACAATCTTTCGCAATCCATGTCGAAGTAAGTGAAGAGTGTGTTCATTAAGTGTGTTGCGTACTTATTACCTGGAACATCTTATTGAATCGGTACTATGTAGCCTTGAGGTTGATACTAAGCACCTGCCAACGCGTTCACTCTTCCAGTTGATGACACGCGCATTCTCATTTCTACCGAAAATCACAGATCTCGCTCTCGACATTTCTGAAATCCCCTCATTTGCTTTATCAGCTATCACTCTCCCGAAACTCTCCTTACTCGTGCTTCTACACCTCACTACCGACAAATTACATTTCCTATATCGGCACAGAGAATCACTACAGGATCTCATATTCAATGACGCTTCCAACGTCTTTATAGATGGCTCTGAACCACCACCGATTCTACCGAAGCTACGATCCCTGAATGGTCCCCCCAATGTTGTTCCGCACATACTTGAGCCTTCTCTCCCGGCTTTTCATTGCCTCGAGGTTTTCTGGGGTGACCATATCACCCAGTAATCGATGCATGTCGAGGGAGCAATCACCCAATGCTTCGGCTATTTGTTCTGCGATGCATACGGAACATGGATCTATTTTGTGCGATTGCACGTCAGATGCCTCACCTAACGCACCTGTTCATGAGATATGGTAATGCATCTAGAGAAGTGAGCCAGGTTCGTCTTTGATGTCGTTATCGCTCGTTTTTGGTACTGATTGTCACAAAGTCCGAGGTAGACGTCATATGAGTAAATTTTCCAGGCTCGAACATTTGGACTGGATTGATTTCTCTTGGGATGACATCACGAGTGAGGAATATGAGTTAGTGAATAGATTTCAGAGGGTCCTTCTCTAAGGTCACGGAGAGCGTTCGGTAGGTCTTTCTGGGACAACAAGAATGAGCTGTTACTAATCCAGTCCTACAGGAGGAAAGATGTAGTGTTGACATGTATCTGAAAATGGGGAGCTTTCGAGTATCTGGAGAGAAGCCTAGCACGCAATTCTGTCACTCTAGGTATAGGCTATACAGTAGACAGTATATCGAACAACCGAAGAATGAATGTGCCCTTTGGAGTCATGAAATGACTAGGATAGTGATAGAACTTCGCATATAGCATATTATTCTCTGAGAGTCACAATCAGACCAGCAGATCAACATCCATGATAGCTCTGTAAAATCTCTTTTCCCACCATCGCAAGCGTAGCTTTTCCTTCAAGGTTCTACTGTTTGATTTCTTGTTCGTGCGACAGCGATTCCTCGGGGTAATCTGCTCAGCGTTGTAATAGGTAGTATTACAGGCGTTCTAACATGTTGTACCTAGTCTTATGCATCATGTTCCCCGTGCATTGTGCTTACCGAGTCGGGATCGCCCCGTCTCAGCGATCATCGGCATCTTTTTCGAATACAGGGTGCAGACCACCATTTCAACACCTTCGTCAGATTGAGTTCCATCACTCGGATGGCGCGCGTTTCTCCCATCTGATGACGTCACATGTCCCTAACCCTGTGCTCCGCCAACACGTTATTCCTCTACCACGATGACAACTAGAACGCTTGAGGCGTTCTACATCTCTCTGCTCCTATCCCATATGCTCAAACAAGTCGGCAGCTCTGATTCAGGAGCACAAGCGAAGAATCACTTTGTAGGGTAGATGAGAATGGAATGGCTCTGAGGTACATTTCCTATTTTCTCGTGTATGACGGATGCTTTATTATCTTCCTTCGTCGACCGATTGTCTCATACCCTTGATATACATCCGTAACCCACAAGCGCCATGTAATTCCACGTTTACATTACCAAGAAGCCCTAGCTTCTAGTTCTCAAAGGCGCTCATTCTACTTCCATGCTTAAAAGGATTCGGATATAAAAGGACAGAAATTAGGAGAGTTGCATGGAAAGGAACAAGATGGAGTCGATGAAGGACAACGAGCCTCGCCTGAATTTCGCTATATCCACTTCCGTTGCCATTCACCGGTACTTCTTTTGCCAGGTTGTTTCGCACGCTCACAAACCTCACCACGACCATGTTTGTGTTTTTTGAACCCACTACATGACCCAGCACCTACCCTTACCCAGAATTTAGGGACCGTGTCTGTGATATACGAAGAAGAAAAGACGTAGGCCAGAGTATGGGTCAGCGAGTAGGCACAAGTGTCGTCACGGTGGCTAGAAAGCAACGCTGGAGGCGGAATAAGAATCGAAACAGAATAACAGGACCGTGTAGGGTACAACGAACGCGGAACGAAGTTTGATTGAGATGGGAGGTACTGCAAGTTCTATACTAGACAGACAGACGAAGAACGAGTCCCGGCAGTAGCGGTCTTGGTGAAGCTTGACACTCGGGCTATGTGAGAAATAGGAGAAAATCAACCAATCAAAGATGCTTCCAATCTAACCCGGGAGCAATGACTCAATGCTTGGTCTATTTGTTCTGCGATGCGCACGGAATATCAATCTATCCTTTGCGCTTGAAGGTCGGAAGCCTCACCTAACCCACCTGTTCATGATGTGTTTATTTCCCATCTTTATATTGGTTTTGCTTGTCATGGAGTCAGGTACAGAATTTAAACGGGTCACATAGATAAACTCTCTTGTCTCGAACACTTAGAATGGATGGATTTTTTGAGATGACATACCGAGTGACGAGTACGAGCTAGTGAATGAATTTCAAAACGCGTGTCCTTCCTGCAGAACTTGGGATTTGGGTCGTGAATCCCCATTAGATCCATGTACAAAGACTCACGACGCAAAAAAAGTGCGCTTGATAGGATACATATGACTTGTAATAGTTGTCGTCCTGTGAGTCTGCTCCGTCCCTTGTCCCAATATCCTCTACTACTCGAAGGAGTGCTGACCCTATCTTGCAGGTCTCGTACAGTGATCTTTCACCACCAATACCATGAAGAGCAAACGCAGTTGTGAAGTATTTGTCGGTAAAGTGGGTTCTTGTAGAAGATGGTGTCAGGTATGTGTGCGCTATTGTTCTGTAATGGCCCTTTTCATACTCCACTTTATTTCCCATTCATTTACCGCATGTCCGTTTCTACTACGTTCCAGCATCTTCGTTATCTCTTCGTTCATGCTGCACCATTCCTCTTCCGCGTTTCCGTTGTTCACATTCCATTTCCTCTTACAGCTAACATGGCCCCAGTAGACCTCAAACAATGAGCGAACGTATCATAGCCTCAACGTTCGACTGCTACCACACCCGACCCTTCCTCTTCATGATGAGAAATAGCTGCGTATTACCCAGCAGGTCCAGGGTAAATTTCCATATAACTTCTTCATCGAGATACTTTGATGTTAATGTGAAACTGTAGGATAACCTTTGCACCTTCGAACAACGATGACAACACCAAACTGGGTACCAACCAAGTCAGCCAGAACGCTATCGGAGCTACCTGTATCACATCAAGGCGGTCGCAAATGATTAGTCTGTGCGACTATAACACGGCGAATGTGCTGCTGTATGTTTCCGTATCGTTCACTTGCGCACCTACTAATACAGTACATTCTCCTATAGTCAAGGCCCAATGTATCACGATAGACTGGTACTGATGGGTACTCGTTCAAGGACACCACTTTGTCTGCTCCGCTAGCCGCGTGTTTCGGGTTACGTTATGCCTGAGGTTGAAAGTAAGTCATACCCTTTTCGTTTGTTGATTCATTTTACTTACCTTGACATAGTACTCCACGTTCTGGGACATTCAAGGACGCCCTTTCAGTGTTGAGCTCTGCATACCTTATCTTCGGTGAGGGTTATGTAGCCTTTGGCGACAAGGAATTCGAGAGGGGGTGTAGTGTCGATGGTGGGGGGTTCATTCTCTGGGGTGTTTGTGGTGCACGAATGATCATGTTGTTCTGAGGGCGTGGGTAATCCCGGTGCCTGCTCATTGTGACTGCCCTGTAATGAAGTCTCCTTCAAGCAGAACAATATACGAGTTAATGGTAGGGCTTACCGTATTCATAAGGCAATGTTTCCTGTGCTCCTTATGGTAGCTCTTGATTTCCCCGAGACGTTTTTCTGCCGTTCCATCATACGGTCGGCGTACCCGATGATGGCCTCGGACTCTATCCCACAGATACCCACAAAACTCATCACCGTCATACAACGCGAACCCTCCCATGATGACGAAGAACCCGTGTGGCATTCCCCATCCATAATCTGAGAGGAAAGCTTCAGCAACGCCA